TCCCTTAAGCAAAGTCCAAGGGAGTAAATGTGCAGTATGCTTATGGTCGGTTCAGTGTGCTAATTCACACACCAATGTGAATGTTTTGTCCAAGGGAATAAGTGTATATTATGCTCCTGCGTGAGCATAATTTACACGCTCTTTATATACAAAAATTTATTTGTTGCGTTAATTCACACACTAACGTCAATGTGACTTGCTTATTCACACGCAAATCATTATTTGATAAGAAGAAAATATTTGTTGGTGTGTGTATCTAGGGAAGGTCACCAAACTTGTAAAACATGTTAACTCTCTTTCACTCTTTCCTAACAAAAGACCATATCTCTCTCTCCCACATACATTTACATGCACACCGGTGCAAGGTTAAAATTAGGCTGAAATCACTCTTGTTGACTCATCCTCCCTCTCTCTCTCACCTAAGATTAGGCTCAAATCTCTCTCTCTTCACAAAATTGCTAAAATGACTCTCTCACACAGATACGGCTAACATATAGTTATCAAGACCGGACTGAATATGTAATTTGATAAGTGTTTTGGTCATTCTTGTTCAAGATAAATATTAAATTTGATAAAAAAAATAGTCAAAACCAATGTTTGATAAGTCAGACCGGCCAATTAACCGGTTCCCCGATTACATAAAGTTCGACAATTTTTTAAATATATTTTATATTTTTAAACTATTACACCTATTTTTCTTTATTTTTTTTAGAATCGTGTGTACCCAATTTGACCAATGGTTGGACCGGTTTTGACTAGGGGGACCACCCCCTTACCAATTCCATGACCTGCCCGATCTTGATTACTGGGCTAAAATGCGCTCTCTCCCATATTGAATCTTCCCCCTCTCTTTCTTTCTCGTTCTCTCTAACTCTCACACACATGCACAAAGCTAAGATTAGGCTAAAACCTCTTGAGGACAACATTGTTGTTTTGGGTCTTGGACCAAAAGTTACATGACTCAGTCCCACACCCAACTCAAAAATTACAATATATGTATTTAAATATATTTAACTACTTTTTATAAATTAGAACCCGAAAATATGTGACCCAGACCCGACCTATCGGACCAATTTTGTACCCATATTCGGACTTGGGTCAAGTTTACCCATCAGATCGGGGTCCACTGCGACCCTAATTGCTGACTTAATATCTCTCTCACACACACATGACACGAACCTTCTCTCTCTGGACACACCCAAAAGGCTGATTCTCTCTTTAGAGAGAAAGCATGGTCAAAATGTTGGTGTTAGGCGGATTCATTTTTGCACATGCATCATCATTCATGAAAAAGCCGCCCCTATATACCTTTGTATAGACTTGGTTTATTCTCACATGGGCACATCATCTACTAACTCCCTATGAGAAAAAACTATTCCGGACAAGTTCTCCGATTCTTTTTACTTACTCCCTCAAAGAAATGACTTCTTTTTTTACTTAATTCATGGAAAAGACTACTGACGAGAGGTTCTATTATTCTTTTAAAAAAAATATTTGAAAAGTAGATGGTCACAATTAATCTTGACTATTAGATGTGAAATTGGGTAGCTATATTTATTCCATTGACCAAACTCAAAGTTCAAAAGAAATTTTTTTGAACTTTACGATACACTCAAGCTATTAGATTTCATAACGGATCGTTATAAGTAATTGTAACATCCTTGTATTAATGGTAAATGGTCTCATTGTATACAATTCCTTAAATGCTAACTTGAGATCCTGTGAGAATAGAACTCTAGATGCCATGTTGTAGTAACCACCTGGTACCCAAAACTCATTCTCAAGGAGTTCTTCGATCTTAAATTTTTGGATTCACTTGAGGCTTTTCTATCTATAATTTTAGGATCCACATTGTAGAACATTTTAAAAAAGAGAAAACTTTGATCCACTAAGGTTTTAAGTTTATCAAAACTTAGACTCGATAGTCCAACATTGGGCTTTTATCCAGTCTCTACTCAGTCTTAGACCCAATGTTATTAGAAGAACATTGTTAATCAAACAGGTGAGAGGTTTGTTCTAGTCAAAATTGGTTTAAGTATCGGTTGAACCAGTTGGATAAAATTTTAAAAAACAACTTAAAATTATGAAATTACAAAAGAGTTGTTTAACTTTGTTTTGGCTTGTCTAGCCATCTAATTAAAGAACAATTTTTTTACCAAGCGTGATTTTATTTGGACCATACGGACCAAAATGCGAATCAATTATATAAACACTCCATGTCCATTAGTCATCAAATTGCTTGTATTAAAATGTACAAAACTACATTTTAAGTGTATCTAAA